GTGATTAACTGAACTTCATTAAAGTGAAAAACTTTTGTGTTTCAAAATATACCATTCAGGATTTCTACTTTTTACTCTGATATGTAAATAGCTTGATAGTTTCCAATTCCATCCTCACAATAAGAAAAAAATGCTGAACAGAAGGGCCAGCACTTAGCGTAATGGCTATGTTGCTGAACTCCCATGTAGTCGACTGTGGTTTGAGTCCAGGACCCGGTGGCTTAAACTCACGCCAGAGTGTGTGTGTGTGCATGCCCAAGAGCCTGAGAGGAAAATGGAGGAGAAGGGATTGCAGTGTGGCTACAAAATCACCCCTGGGGGTGGGGGGTGATTTCTTGCTTTCTGTCTCTCTGTCTCTCTCTTTCTGGCAAGTGTATGCACTCTATAACAAAAATCCTCTCAAAAAAAAAAAAAAAAAAGGCTGAACAGACTAATAATCAGTAACTTCTCTTCGCTCAGAGAACCTAGATTACTTGATAATCCACCATCCCAAAAACTGGAGACGGGTGAAGGGAGAGTTCAGACAGGCTACCTAAAGCAGGACGACTGGAGCCCGGAGCTGGTAGGAAAGCTTCTGCAGTCCCTTCAGTAATTTGGTAGAGGTAGAGTGTGTAAACTCCTGTAAAGCAGAAAAACCAGAGAGAGGGGCCTAGTCTCCGTGGGGGGAATCCACACTTCTGTCACTTTTTTCCTACAAGAGCCTCACCAGGTGATCTTCACTAAGGAAGATCAGAGAATAGAGAAACGCGACTTAATATTTGCTCAGGGAGGGGTATGTAACCAATTTGAAATGGGCTTACAGAAAGAATAACCATTTTGAAATAAGTCCTGAATCTTTTTCACAACAATGTTATACCCAGCAAGAGAGAAGGCTGGAGTCTTATCTGATGTGGGAGAAAGAAAATTATTCAAACTAAGCTTCAGCTCTGTTTCCTTTATTGACAAAGGGAGAGAGTTTATAAACCGAGAAGTATTTGTAAGGATCACAGATCCTACTCTTTAAAATCCAATAAAAGGATTATAAAGTGCTTCTCCTCTGCATATATTTTATAATCAAACACGAGGGATAATATGTTATTATCCTATATTGTAGAAGTGTTTATAACTAAAAGAATTGCAAAGTTTTGACTCCATTTAAAAGTAGATTGGAAGAAATTACAAAAACAAGGTGGTTGACCAAAACAAGGAGACAAGAAGAAAGTGAATCTTTGATAACTACAGCTATAGCAAACTCCAAACATGGCCTAATTCTCAGTCAGATAAACAAAATCTCACACTCAATTTCTGCATGTTTCAGCTTCTATTAACCAATTAATTTTGTCTGACTTTCAGTAAGATAGTAGAGGCATTGTAAAAAGCAATAAAAATACACAATTTGAAAAGATAAAGAAAGCAATAGAGTCAGATTCATGTAACACAGAGTTATTAAAATTAGCAGACCAGAAAATTTTAAGTTTCTGGAGCTCTAAATAATAAAGACTAAATGACAGCAGGAAAAAATGGGTAATGTGGGCATAAAAGTGAAAAACACAAGAATAAAAAGAAAATGCTTGGAATAAAAAAATACTGTAATAAAAATGAACACTGCCTTAGAAAGACTCAATAAAAAATATACATCAATGGGGAAAAAGAATCAGTAAGATCGAAGAAATGTTGACAGAAGTTTCCAAACTTAGATATAAAGAGAAAAGAATGGAAATAAAAAGCTGACAGAATATCCAAGTACTCCAGGACAAAAGTAAATAGCAGCATACAGGTAAAGGGAATACCAATGAGGAAGAAGAAAAGAAAGAGAAGGATAGCAATCAGAAAAAATTTTGCAAAAGAAGTATAATTTATATGCTAAGAAAGGAGAGAAAATGGAATCATAAAACCCTCAACTAATACCAGAAGATACATACAAGGACTGAAAGGTTAAAAAGAAAATAAAAGATAAGTACAATGAATTCAAAACAATGCTAAAGATGGTAGACATTAATCCAACTCTACAAGCATTCACATTAAATGTGAAGAGTCATGGAGATCATCAGCAGGGCTTAAAACAAACAAATCTCATCTTGCTTATAAGAAAACCACTTTATGAAAACAAAACCAGATTACAAGTGAATGGAGAGGCCCAGGCCTGGTGATACACATGGCTGAGGACACTGCTATGCAGGCTGGGATAATAAGGAGGACTGGATTTGGGTCCTGGTCAAACCTAAAGTTGGGCATTGTGGCATGCACTACACTCCCAGCAACTCAGGGGCCTGAGGCAGGAGGACTGAGAGCTTGAGTCTGGTCTGACGCCAACAGGAGACTCTGACTAAAGGCATTTATAATACACCCCTCAGTCCCAACTGGGTAGCTGAGGCAGGAGGATTCCAATATGGTGAGCATCTCTTTTCATTTACAAAATAGAAGGGAATGGAAGGGGAGGGAAGAGAAGGAAATATGGAAAGGAAAAGAAAGGAAAGGAAAGGAAAGGAAAGGAAAGCAAAGCAAAGGAAATGAAAGGAAAGGAAAGCAAAGGAAAGGAAAGGAAAGGACAAGAAATGAAAGGGAAAGGAAAGTGAATGGATAAAATTATACCTTTCTAACACCAATCAAAAGGAAGTTGGAATCAGGCCAACCAGTGGCATAGTAATCAAGGTAGCTAGATATCACATGGCCAACACCACAGCTCAAGTCTCAGAACTGGTGACTTGAAAAGTATACTGGGTGCGTGTGCATACATGCCCAAAATCCAGAAAGAAGAAAAAGAGAAGAGAGCGTCCGTGCGTGATTCCCCATAGGGGGTGCTTTCTCACCTTCTCTCTCTGTCTCTGTCTCTCTCTGACAAGTATACATTCTCTCTAATAAACTAAAGACAATAACAAAAAGAAAGTTGGAGAAATATCTCCCGAGGAGAATTGAGAAGGGATGAATGCACTGTGGCCATCTCCGGAGGGTGAATTTTCACGTTCTCTCTCTCTCCTAGTGAGTGCATGTGCCCTGTGGCAAAAACCTAAAAGTAAACAAACAAATAAAAAACAAAAAAAGAAAAGCTAACTCAGGGCAATAAAAATAGCAGAGTTAAGGGATATTATATAATAAGAGGGCCAATTCTTTAAAAATATATAACAATCCTTAACATGCATGCACTTAGCAAGAAATTATCCAAACATAGGAGACAGAAAATTGATAGAATTTCAAGAACAAGACAAATCCACTACGATAGTTGGAAATGTTATTATCCTCTTAGTCATTGACACATTCGAGTAATAAAAAATCTGTAAGGATGAGGCCAGCAGCTGACATGAGGGTTAGTGTGCTGGACTCCCACATGACATACCGAGGTTTGAGTACAGAACCCAGTGGCTTGAAACTCATGCTGGGCACATGTGCATGCATGCCCAAAATCCTGAGAAGATAATGGAGGAGAAGAGACTGAGGCATGGGCATCCTCCCGGGGGGGTGGGGGGGAGATCTCTCACTTTTCTTTGTCTCTCTCTAGTGAGTGCACATGTCCTATGGCAAAATTCTTTAGGAAAAATAAAGAAAGAAAGAAAAGAAAAGAAAAAGGAAAAGAAAAATAGACCAGAATGTTGCTTTTTGTCACCTTAGCAAACTATATAGTATTTACTCTTCAGTTTTGCCTCTAAGGAAATATATTTTATATAGTTTCAGGGAGAAAAAAAATTGAGAAATAAAACCATTGTCTTTAAATTAATGTCATGACCTTGTTGCTCAATTAGACACAAATATTTAACAACCTTATGTATCTCTCAAATTCGGCCAAATGCTTTGGCTTAGAAATCCAGGGTCTCTCACTCTCTAGATCCAAATGACTTTTTATGCACATTTCTCCTCACTTCCTGCACTCTGTCCTCTAGTCATCCTGCCTGATGTTTCCTGCCTCTGCAAATTTACTCATGCCTTCAGTCCTACTTATCCTCAACCGACAGCAAACTGTTCTTTTCTGCCCTAAGCCTTTCGACTCTTATCTCCCTTTAAAGTAAATGGCAAAGCATTTAATTTCTACTTCGTGTTCACTTTGTGTTCTAAGTGATATGGTCTGGGTACATGTTTAAATATACAAAGATTTGAAAGCAACAGTATCGAGAAATTTATTTTTCTAAATTTAGTTTGACCACCGGTAGAGGAAAATGAGGTGACCTGGCTAGCTGATTTTTCTATCTTCTCTCATTTCTTTCAGCTTCGACCTATTTCTTTCAAGCACAAATATATTTAACAGATACTTCCCATTTTAGATTAAAGCTTAACTTTCCACGTGTCTGACACAATTATTATCATTTGATGCTCCTCATGTTTAGATATGATAGATTGATATCTTAATTCTGCCAAAGTCCAAGAATTAAAATTTCACTGCATTTATTATAAGTGAAAAATCACTGGGCACAAACTATTATTTACTATTATTATTATTTTTTTAAGAGGTTTTTGCTATAGGGCGTGTGCACTCGCCAGACAACAGAGAGAAACAGAGACAGAAAGCAAGAATTCACCCCCCTGGGGGATGGCCACACTGCAATCCCTTCTCCTCCATTCTCCTCTCGGGATCTTGGGCACTCACACATGCGCCTGGCGTGAGTTTTAAGCCACCGGGTCCGGGACGTGAACCATGGTAGACTACATGGGAGTCCAGCGACATAGCCATTACGCTAACTGCTAGTCCCTCCTGTTATTGTTTGAAAGTTAAGAAATCTCTTTCTTTGTTTTTTTTTGTTACATTATGTGTCTTTAATGTGGCCATGGGAAGGAGGACATCGCAGAATCTGTAGTCACCTGCCTCTAAACAGCTCACGCCTCCAGCTGTCCTAAGAATCTGACTACACTTCCTGGTGGGATGCCTACCTAACTCACATTAAAAGAACATTTGCTTTCTCACATTTAAAAATCCAATGCCTAGATAGTAAATATTACATATAACTACACGGTTTCATCATGGCTTGAACTAGATTTATTAAAATACCCATTTCATATCTGATATTGTTAAAACTATTTTAAGTTAGTCTTACATCTGGAGAATCACACCCACTGGTACCCGGATTTTCTTCCTTTGTTGACTCAACTTGAGAGTTCTCACTGTTTTCAGGAGCACTTTGTTGAGACTTGAGAGAGAGACAGAGAGAATAAAAGAAAAAAAATCATTAAATATAAGAGAAATATTTTCAACAAATAGATTGATAAGGTTGTTGTGACACATGACATAATGACAACATTGCACCAAAAGAAAAGGATAAAATGTATATATTTACCTGAGACCTTCCTTAAGAATTATACTTTAAAAATCATTAACATTTATTTATTTTTTATTTATTTTTAAAGAATTATTTTATTTAACTTTATTTATTTATTTCAATTTGACCAACTAGGGACAGAATGAAAGAGAGGGAAAGTGAGAAAGAAGCTACCAGGTCTGGAACTTAAACTACAGTCTGTCATGTGGGAATCCAGCACCCTTAACCACCACGTCACCTGATGGCCTCTCAAAATTGTTGACTTTTAAATTAAATAAAATAATTTCTATTTGATTTTGTATTTGTGGTATCCAATATGATTATTTTCCCACTGAAAATATTTCTTGTATTATTATAATTATATCTTAATAATCCTGGACACTAAAAGAGATAGGGTTCTATTCTTTTCTCTTTGTTTTAAGCCCCAGCATAGCTGAAAAATAGTATGTACACACCTTATTTTCTCAGTAAGAAAGAAAATGTTCTACAGTGCCTCATAATTTATACATAGGATTACATTCACTGGAATGCTTCACTAAATGATCGAATTCTGCCTTATAATTCTGAAAAACATAAATGTTACTATAGAATGTTATCTTTTTAGGAACACTAAATTTAAAAGGAAAAGAAAAGTTTCCTAGTCTACCCAGAGAAGTGTATGTCATAACTAGCATTTTCAAATAATCCTATAGGCAGGTCTAAAGTTATCCACTCAAGTGTATACAAAGTTCTAAACAGAGCTGATGTGAATGTGTAGGTATGCCCATTTGTGAAGGTTGTCGTATGACTTGTTTTATGACTGACCAACAGTAAATTCAGTGAACACTAAGTTGGCTGAGTCTGAAACTTGGATCATAGTGGACCATCTTAGAAAAAGAGATAAGCTTTCTAACCACTGAGGTCCTAGGAATATCAAGTTAAGATGTGGGTTAGTCAGAGTACTCACATTCACTCAGGCTCTCTACCTATACTACTTGTTACATAGCACTCATCTGGTTTTCCACAGGCAATTACATTCTTCAGCAGGGACATAGTCATACAAAAATAGGATCTTTATAAAAATAAAAATAAAAACTTAAGGATAAGCTGAATGGTAGTGCAGAGGAAACCAAGAGACTGTGGGATGACCCACAGTGAGGGTTCCAGATCTGTTCATAGAGACCTCCCTGAGTATGCTGGGCATGTGTGGTGCCTGTGGTCTGAGGCTGACTGAGGCTGGGGTGTATTGCAGAGTTGAAGCTCTCTTGCAGTACTGCCTTTCTTTCTCTACCTCTGACTCTCCTGCTGATGGAAGAAATAAGTGAGAAAACTAAAAAACAAATTACTGACATGTTGGTTTATAGGACTATTATAAAAATGCTATAAAGTATAGAATAAATCCTAAAATTGAACTACAAAGTTTATACTTAATTTAACAACCAAAGAGGAGGTCCCTGGACATATTTTTTTTCTTAAGCCAGAAGATACATGTGCTCACCAGAGGGAGACAGAGAGAAAGGAGGATGGAAAGGGATAAGACTCTGCCAGTGGGCATGGCCACACTGTGATCCTTCCTCCTCCATTTCTCTATCCTGCTGGGTTTTGGGGCACTCAAGCAGACCTGCCTGGCATGATTTTAAAGCTGCTATGGCTAGAATTTGAACTGGACTACTGTCAACCATGATTCAGCTTCCTTAACCACTAGGTCATGGAACCAGCCTATTTCTTAGATATTTTAAAACATAGTAATGACATGGGACAGAACCCCCATCATCAGGCTGTGCTGGCATTTTACAGGCAAAAATGGAACAAAGATAATTATCATGGGGAGACCATTAGAGAAGCAATTAAAACAACCAGGAAGATGGCAGCCAATGGTGAACTGAGATGTCAATACTGGTGATGTAAACCAGATTGGACAGTGATCCTCTGTTGACCACAAAGGTTAGAATCTATGCAATTTGGAGAATTTCTCTAGTCTCTGTAGAAACAGAGAAACTCAAAGAAAAGGCAAGTTTTTACCAAGAAAGATGGATTTTGTATCATTAATAGGGATTTTAAAACATGTGAACTCCTAAATAGATAGGTATTATTGGATAACAGTATTTTAAAAAATAACATGTCTAGCAAGAGTCAAAAGAGATACTCATTCTTGCTAAAAGCTACTGAAAACTCACCATCTGTCTTCTCACAACTCCCAATCTTACAGATGCTTTGGAGAAACAGGTTAAAAAGAAGAGGGAAAATAAATAAACACTAATACTGGTGGAGAATGTCCCCTGGCAGTCACACCAAGAACCTCAGCTGCAAAAATGTGAAGAATGGATTAAATCACACATGCAGGCAAGGAGTATTTTTAGTGTATTTTGTTTCTGTCAAACAACCAGATAACTGAACAAATAGTCCCAGCATAATCTTGTAAATTTCTTTTAATATAGAATAGCATCAAAGAATATTGAAAAATAAGGTCTATTCGTTTATTTTTCAATGTTGCGATCTAGAATTCGTCAATGTCCACATTCGGGAAGAGTTAATGCGGTCACAGTCATAGTGCTCATGATGCTGCCACTTGTTTTACACACATGACATAAGATGATGCTCGACGTACTTTGTATTTAGGCTTTGCTGTTCTAAAAATATCTATCGAGTAGGTTTGGAAAGTGTATTTTATGGTTAAGATTTGGGAGGCTTTCAATTTGGGGTTATATAGATAATATTGTGATGAACATTAAGTGTCTTGGTACCAGCCTGAATAACAACTCCTAGCATCATCATCTTTATCTCCTCATAATTTGGTAAGCTCCCAAAGGAGAAATATTGTGTCTTATTTATCACTGCATTCATGGAAGGTAGTACATATTTTGCACTCAATAATTTTCTTCTTACATCTTCTTTCTTTTCATCATTTATTTACATTTCTTAGGATAAAAAGAAGCTAAGAATTAACAATCAGTACTAAATCAAGAATGGACATACTCATGGTTAGAGAATCTTTCCAAAATGTGGCAATTTGAATTAATTCCAGCAATAAAAGTCAACAAATATTTGTTATGCATCTACTTTGTAACAGCAACATGTTTAAAACTGGGGTCAAAATTTTTGATCTGAGGACCAGCAGTTAGTGTAATGGCTATGTAGCTGTATTCCCATGTAGTCAGCCGTGGTTTGCATCCTGGACTCAGTGGCTTAAAACTCACGCCGGGCACATTTGCGTGCGTGCCCAAGATCCCGAGAGGAGAATGGAGGAGAAGTGATTGCTAGTGCACGCGCCCTATGGCAAAAACCTCTCCAAAAAAAAATTTTTTTTGATCTGAAAAAGCACCCATTTTGTTTTCAGTTACTTACTCATCATTCTTTTTCAATATATGTAATAAACATATATTTGTCTAGTTTTCCATTTCTTCCATGAGCGAGAGAAAGAGAGAGGAAAAAAAGAGAAAGAGAGGGCATCCCCTAGGGTCTAGATGCCATGTTCTACCGTCAGCTGTCAGCCAGCCCTGGATCATAAGCACACACACGCCTGTTACATTCAGGGAGGTATCCGGACTTGAACTGAGTACTTTACCATGAGGGACTGCATTGCAGAGTGTCAGGTTTTACTGCTGCACCCATGTCTGGCCCTGCACATAATTTCTGCTAGTTTCCTAATAACCTTTGATATATTTCTGGAGGATGACTTCTCTCTTAGTGTAAGGTATATTCTGACTATTGCTTTGTGCATCAAATTCTCAAGCCTATCCAAGAGGTGCACATATCATCTGTGTTTGGTCATCAGAACCTCCAACTTTGTGCTTTTTCCTATGGGAGTCAAACACTAATAACACAACATAAGCCTTTTGCTATAGAAACCAACAGGAAGAAAACCTAACTCAGCCAGCAAAACTGAAAAGGGTAATGTAAGGCTCACAAATGATGGGAATTATATTTTAGGTTAGGTATATAATCTATCTCTAAAAATATAACTATGTAGCACATTGATCAATTTTCATGCTTACATAGTGATATCTGTTTATGCAAATACAAGGGTCATTCTAAAAGTTCACAGGAAATGGTTTTATGAAAAAACTATGCATGGATTTAAAACAAACTTGCACCATTAAACTTGTACTTTAATTCCTTTTTTTTTTTTTTTTTGGAGAGGTTTTTGCTATAGGGCGCGTGCGCTCACCAGACAGAGAGAGACATAGAGACAGAAAATGAGAAATCACCCCCCAGGGGGGATGGCTACGCTGCAATCCCTTCCCCTCCATTCTCCTCTCAGGATCTTGGACTCGCATGCACACATGCCCAGCGTGAGTTTTAAGCCACTGGGTCTGGAACACAAACCGGGGTCGACTACGTGGGAGTTCAGCGACATAGCCATTACGCTAACTGCTGGTCCCTTTAATTCCTTTTTTCATGAACTTTTAAAAGTCTCCACATTCTATGCATTTATGGAAATCATGCTAGATTTTGACAGTGAGGCCGAGGCAAGAAATATGTCCAGAGTAGTAGTTTTTATTTATCATCTATCTACTGCCTGTCTATCTATCCATAGTTTATTCTTAGCAGCTTTTTCTATTTTGGATAAAAGATAAAGGGACTTCATTCACTGTTAATCTCTCAAAGAGCAGGGAGAATTAATGACAGCATAACTCTTCTCCTCCATAAAATTTCCAAAGACTAGCTTAGTTCTCATCTATTAGATAATGGAGGTGCCTGGTTTTCTACCTTCTATATTAATACTAAATTATCTCACTTCATTTTACTTCAGGGAGAAAAGCACATACATTAATTATTTCTAACAATGGGAGAAAATTGTACATCGTATTGCCAGTATGAACACAAAAGTTAAATTTATTTAAGTACAATAGCATAGTATTAATTGGAGAACTGCTTTCCTTTAAACATAA